TCGAATACAATCCACTGACGGCCTCTATTTTATATTGGTCCATATCGGTACCATCCATGACATACGGTATGGATATCCTGCCATTGAAACAATGTGATTATGATACCCTTGAATTGACACATAGACAAATAGCAAAACGTATCCAACAATTGCCATGTAATGTGCATAACGAAGCTTCCTTGGCACAACTGGGCTGGTCGAGGATTCGTGCGGTCATAGATACAAAAAAGTTAATGTTTCTGTGGTGTATCCTAAATCTACCAACCACATGTGTGTATAAAATGATTTTTATAATTGAGTTCTTTAGATGGAAGTCAATTTCTGAACATTCAAAGTTGTATAGCAACTATTCAGTAATAAATGCAGTTTTGAACCTTGTGACAAGATACAATTTATGGCGATATATTGATGAATATTTTTTGAATTATGACCTGATGCCCAAATGTGCGTGGAAACGGATTGTTAAAGCACGCATAATGCAGTATGAAGAAGACAGATGGCACTTGTTATGCAACATATCTTACAGACTTAGCGTTTATAGAACGATACAAGTTACGATAAAACCATGCGTATGGTGGAGAATCTGTCAAACGAATTGTAAATATATAGGGATGTGTAGGGATATGGTAAAACTGCTAACAGGTGCTTTCCCACTCAACTATGACACTATTTGTCCCCTGTGTGGGATGACAAATGAAACGACAAGGCATTTTCTCTTAGATTGCCTTGAACTTCATGAAAGTAGGAGTGACTTGTTGGCAGTTTTAAGTGACAGAATATTTGATGGATATAATATGGTTGAAAAAATGGAGGTCTTACTAGGAAAAAATGAAGCATTAGACTACAGAATGTATGTGAAGATAATGTTAAGTGTCAAACACATGTTAAAAACAAGAGCTGCAGCTATAGCTCTATAAACTATTAAATCAACACAGTTGGCGTTGTAAATATATATATTTTTATTTTTATATTTTTAATATTGCCACATTAACTTTATAATTATTATGTACTCATCTGCATAGGTGGAAATAAAGATACATAAACATAAACATCTCTATATACTGCATACAGTCGGTACAATTATTATATATATATATTTTTTTATTAAAATCAATGTAACATATTTACAGGTTGTAGTGGCTATGACAGAATAACTCATATTATCCTATGCCAAGTAGAGTTTTAGGGAGATCAGTTGGTAAGATATATCCTGTATCCTGATTTTGAGGTTTCCATATCCTGAACCTCCATATCTCCCGCCATATCTCCCGCTCCAGGGCACATTTTCCCGCTTCGAAAAAAAATTTAAAAAATAAGAAAAAATTTTAAAAAATAAAAAATTTGAAAAAAATAAAAAATTGAAAAAAAGAAAAAAAATATAAAAAAATTTGAAAAAAATAGAAAAAATAAAAAAACTGAAACAAAATTGAAAGAAAATTAGAAAACTCTACTTGGTACAGGATAAAGCAGTTATGTACGGTCGGTTTGGATATTGGGTTCATCCCTCGTGAGATATGCACATCTACCTTCGGTCCTTACGGTCCCTACGGTCCCTCAGGTAGATATGCATATCTCCCTCTGGATAAACCCCATATCCAAAAACCTCCCAGTACATAACCCTTATATATATAAAACATTAGAAAATAGATACACATTGCATAATAAATAATAGTAATTGTATTATAGATATTATATTATATAATAGATAATACTAGACAATACACATTTGTAATTGTGTAGAAAGATTACCCTCTATAAAGAAAAAAAGGTGCACTGTCCTTTACCAATCATATCTTTTTTATTTTTCATTATTATCAGACCAAACATTCAGAGTTATAATGCATGGATACTTTGACCAAATGGAGAAAATTTCAAAGAAATCTGTAAATATGGTAAAAATTTAGAAAGGATTGAATAGAACTACATGTACTCCCAAAATCGTGAGTGTGACTTTTTGCCATAAATTGATGTCATAAATATGAGAAATCCTATATCCAGCAATGTAAGGGGGAATAATAAGGGGATCTTCTGAGACATGAAGTTGAATTCTTAGTTACATTTAGAGGAATACACCATTTTAAAAAGTTTTTAGTCCAATAAAACTTTGTGAAAAATGTCAGTTATAGAATGTAAGTCCAATCAATTACAAGATTTTGTGATATTTGAGGTAATATCCTTCAGATTCAGAGGTCTCTTCTCAGTTCAATATTAGGGGTAGGGGTAACATATATAACAACAAACTTGAAATTGTAAGATAATAATAACCTTTTATATTTCCCAATGACCAATAAATAGAGATTATTCTATATGAGGTTCAGGATATTGGGATTATCCCAATATCCTGAACCTACGGCCCTCGGGCAGATATATTATATTGGCCTCGGGATAATCCCAATATCCTGAACCGACTATAGGATAATCTGGATGATCTGTTTATCCCATACCAATCACATTGTTCAATTGGCCAAAGTTCAGAAACTTAGCAACAAACCGTGGAATTATTTTAGAATATTCATGTCCAGTTTTGTATTCTTGTCCGTAGCCGGATTTTCCTGTTCAAATCCATGATTATTAATGGGGCATACTGCTCCTTCCCTTCTTTAAAGCATATAACAGATCTAGATTGTCTGCGTTTTTCTCCATTGTCGTTTACTGTGATGATGAGAACATAACAAAAAAGGACCAAAACGGGAACAGCGATTATGACGTAGCGGGCAGATATACTATATCTGCCCGCTCGGAGCGGGATGTATAGCTATATCTGCCCGCTGATGAAAATATAAGTTTTTACAAACCGGCTTTATGTACCCGTAACACGTCCAAGTATGGGATAAATATGTTACACATCCTTTACTTAGCTTATACGTACCAAAATGTATGTCAGATTTGATATATAAATTCATTTATTAAGTAAGATGGTTACATCCTATCCCCAATTTCACTGCTATTTAAGGCGTAAAATCGTCTAAAAATCATGTTTTGGCACTAACATAATTTTCTGTTAGTGTTAATGTTTATTTCAAACCTGTCAGTTATAACCAGTTTGGGACAGGCTTTACAATGAGGAATATAACATTTAGAAAATGATGTCCTAGGCTTAGAGGAAATTGTATGACACTGTATAATAGCAAATTGTAATTTATGATGTAATTTAAAGGAAAAAGTCACATTAGTGAGACAACCATTGCTAGCTCTTTCAAATTTTCATCTAATTTTTTAAAAGATCTACCAGTTATGCAAAATATTTATGTCATGTGCTGCCAAGAGTTTAGTAATATAATGAAAATTTTTGAAATTGTTATGACTGATAAGGGACCATGCACCTTTTTATCGTACCTAACAAAAGGTACGATATTGTAGTCAGCTTGACGGGCGGGCGGGCGGGCGGCGTCTCACTTTTCAGCTTGTCTACAGGTTTCCAGCCAAACCATTTGAGGGATTCATCTGAAATTTTCAGGGATATTTCTACATATCAACGTCAAGAACTGATTAGTTTTTGGGCATTCTGGGTAAATCTTAAGGTGGCCATTTTAGATTTTCTGTCCTAAAATCTTCACTTCTAAGACTTGTCTACAGGTTTCCAGCCAAACCATTTGAGGGATTCATCTGAAATTTTCAGGGATGTTTCTACATATCAACGTCAAGAACTGATTAGTTTTTGGGCATTCTGGGTAAATCTTAAGGTGGCCATTTTGGATTTTCCATCCTAAAATCTTCACTTTCAAGACTTGTCTACAGGTTTTCAGCCAAACCATTTATAATAAAATTACCATAAACGTAATCTCTGGTAACTCAAATACCAGTGAAAGGATTTGGTTCAAATTTTATATGATGATGCCTAGGGACAAAGGAGCTTGCTCAAGATGGGATTTTTGAAATGGCCACTGAATTTCAAAATGGCAGCCATTTTTCGTAAAAAAACGTAATCTTTGATAACTCAAATACCAGTGAATGGATTTGGCTCAAATTTTATATGATAATGCCTAGGGACACAATAGATCTGTTCAAGAAAGAATTTTCAAGATGGCAGCTTGATAACCAAAATGGCGGCCATTTTTCGTAAAAAAAAGGTAATCTGATAACTCAAATACCAGTGAACGGATTTGGCTCAAATTTTATATGATGATGCCTTGGCTCATTTTTTATATGATGATTCCTAGGGACACAGTAGATCTGTTCGAGAAAATTTTTTCAAGATGGCGGCTGAATTTCAAAATGGTAGCCATTTTTCATGAGAAAAATGTAATCTTTGATAATTATACCAGTGAACAGATTTGGTTCAAATTTTATATGCTGATGCCTAGAAACACAGTAGCTCTGTTCGAGAAAAAAATTTTAAGATGGCGGCTGATCTTCAGAATGGCTGCCATTTTTCATTTTCATTTTCGTAATCTTTGGTAACTCAACTGCCGTTCGGTGGGATTTGCTACTCCGTGGAGTTGCTGTTTTTCTAGTCAGGGATGTTTCTACATATCAACGTCAAGAACTGATTAGTTTTTGGGCATTCTGGTTAAATTTTAAGGTGGCCATTTTGGATTTTCAGTCCTAAAATCTTCACTTTCAAGACTTGTCTACAGATTTTCAGCCAAACCATTTGAGGGATTCATCTGAAATTTTCAGGGATGTTTCTACATATCAACGTCAAGAACTGATTGGTTTTTGGGCATTCTGGGTAAATTTTAAGGTGGCCATTTTGGATTTTCCGTCCTAAAATTTTCACTTTCAAGACTTGTCTATAGGTTTCCAGCCAAACCGTTCAAATTTTTACATATGTTACACAGTGATAAGTTCTAGAGCTGATTAACTTTTCTGCGGCCATCTTGCTTTCTTGGTCAACAAGACCACAATGCTGTGTTTTAGGTACGATATTGTTCACGTCTGTGCCTTGTTTTCTTAACAGAGGGTATAAGGTTTTATTCTTTGAGAGAATACTTTTGAACTCTACCATATATCTTGAGTGAGAAAACCTGAACTTTAATGATTGAATTTTATGTTTTCAGATAGATGAATCTTTGATGTGTTAAAAGAGAGGCAGCCCATACCCCTGGCAAAATGAATGTTACTTTTGGGGTGCCGCTGGACAAGGCGGCCATGTACCATGTGGACTTTCTCAAAAGAGTTGATTCCTTCAAGGCCCTCTACACACGCCCTCTGGTCCAACATGCTATAAGGCGCTATGAGTTATTTTGGCTACCACTCATGGCTAAAAATGGAGATAAAGATCTGGAACCCCCCTTGGATATACACTGGGTTTGGCATTGTCATATGTTATCACCATTCAAATATGAAGCTGACTGCATGAAACTTTTCGGGCGTGTTATCAACCATATGTTTGGTATTGGAGACAGAACGGTGCCTTATCAAACTGCACAACAAATATGGATGTCGGCATATGGGAATGAACCATTTGAGATTGATTTATCTGGACAGAACCTCCCATCTCTGAGTTCTCCTCAGCCATCAGCATTGAATTATGATCTGGTGTCAGCGGTGAATCGCCAGAAAGACTTTGTTTACAACGTTAGTCTACCCCACTACAAAAATCCTACATTTCTCCGTAATGCCCTAGAGCGATATCGTAAGTTTCTAAACCTCAAGAGGCTTCACCCATCATTGTTCATCGTCCCGATGTATGACGTAGATCTGATGTGGCACACACACATTCTCCATCCCATAATATACAAATCCGACACTGTGTCAGTTTTGGGAAAAATGCTGAATCATGACGACACAGACGCTGAACGGAGCCCTGGATCAAAACTGAACATGGCAGACCAGGAGACTCGTAGCCTTTGGTTAGCTGAATACAATGAGGCATTCCCTATCAGTGGCGGGATGTATCGGGGAGAGACTTCCTATGGGAAGTTGGGCTTTCTAACTCCTGAACAGGTATGGGTGAACACAATTTCTATATTTTTTAGGGGTTACCCTTTGCATTCGTTCGACTGAACATCTAAAAGAGAGCTTCGTCTTCACTCTTTCAGTTTACAATAAATCTCTGATCTCGAAATATGGACAACTTTCCATATGATCATTACCTCTAATATCATCGCATAGTTAATGAGCACATATTTAGCACGAGTTCCTTCCACTTCGCTGATTGGTTGAGAAAGGGTCAGCATGGTAGATTTAAAATGATTTATTACTCAGGCTGTCACAGGCACCAATCTTTGGGGCGGGGCTGCTAAACTGTAATATAGTGTATACTAGGCAGAGGGTAGTTTATAACTAGACTGCATGCAGGGTATTTAGGGGTTCAATATTGTAGTCTTTTCAGAATGTTATATTTTGAAAGTGAGTGCTAGTGCAAGTAGATCTATATTCTAGTATCAATACTGACAAACAAAACATTTCACTAAATGTCAAGTATCTCCCATTTCTTATTTCTCCCTCTATCTCATTTACCAAGAGCAATTACACCCCCATATTTTAACCCTTGAGGTCACATTTTGTTTGTTGAACTGAGAATTAAAGAAATGCCATGGTAATATTGATCATAGCTTCCTGTATGTTATATGTGGAATTCTAGTGCAAAGAAATATGTACTAAAATATTCTTTAAGTTAGTCTCTTCGGTGACTCTGACATTGCAGCGAAGTGTTTTGTCAATTAATTTTTCATTAAAATATCGATTTTTAACATCAAGTCATCAGTTATAGCAACCATACTTTAAGGCAAGTCATTGATGAGCAACCATTCTTTAAAGCAAGCTATCAATGAACAAACAGCCAAGTTTAAAGGCAGGTTATTTCAACACTTTCACCGCATTGAATCCACATGTTGATAAATTGCCTAAATTTACAAAACCAAATAAACTATTTTACACTTGGGTATTGTGTAATAGTTTGCCGGCAAGAAATGCAATCAATCGTCAGTGGATTTACATCACGCCAGTTGGATAAATCAATGGTAGATCAATATTACGCTGAGAATTTTACGCAACTCATTCCACTTGGCCTAAGATCTAATGCTCAGATTCAACAGCAGATCAGTTTGAGGGGATTACATGTATTACTTTATGGGCATTTTCGGGAAATTAGTTTAACCTGGGTGCTCTATGGTTGCGTTAAGGACTTGAGGGTAAACAGATTTTAATGACATTTATTTGATGAAATTAGCATTGTGTCAGACTGGTTTTCATTCAGAGTAAAGAACCGGACTGGTATTCTGTCCTTATCACCCGAGACACTTTGGTTTTACAAGGCTTAAGTTGACAAGAAGGAAATTGATTATAAATAAGTTAAAATAAATTATTTAACTATACCGCCAACAACCTTGCAAACTCAGCATTTCTGCTGATTCAGTAAAAGAGAATCTATTCAAAAACTTTTTTGGATGTTCAATCAACATAACCATAGTACTATTGGACTGATATCCATCACCCCAGACACCTTGATCCACAAGGGGCATCACCCCAGACACCTTGATCCACAAGGGGCATCACCCCAGACACCTTGATCCACAAGAAACATCACCCAAACACCTCGATCTACAAGAAACATCACCCAAAAACCTTGATCCGCTGGAAACTTTTCCTAAAAATAATTCTGATTTTTCCATTGGTTCTCATGTAAAATGTTGTGCTTTAACCTGGTCATTTTTTTTGTTTATCATACAAATTTTGAATCTTAAAAATTACCTTGAAACCTTGACTTTTCAGGTGCTACTGTCATCTGACAAGAGTTATGAGATTCGCATCATGGAGATCAACTGTAGCACTGAACCTGATGCAGAGAAATATCACATGGATGTTAGACTTGACAGAGGGGGCAAAAGTAAATTGCCTGAGAAGTTAGCAAAACTTAAGGTATGACAACGGAATGTCTGTTATTCAGTATAACATATTTTGTAGAGTTCTTAAATATTTGTTTATGATGGTACCAAAAATAAACCCAAGATAGTCTCCATATTCAAGCTTCATGCATGTTTTACCAAACTTTCGAATGCTGGTATTTATGAGACAAACCATTACCTTCAAAAAATTGAATCTATTTATGTTGACGACATGATCAACAACACAACATGTGTTGATGGTTTATACCTTTAGTATAGCAATGCAGGGTACACACTTGAGAGATTTGAACATATCATATACCATTTAAGTTATAATGGGTTACTTACAATAATTAACTATCAACTACATGTGTAGCGATTCTGGCTTCCAACCAGCTGTCAGGTAGAATGTTGCCAAAATGCAGAGTACAAATCTGTTTTTATTGTAGGGTCCACCATGCAGTTGGAAGTCAAGGGGCACGTTGGCCAAGGTACAATTACAGAGTTACTCCGAAATCAATACCCTACGTCTAGAGTTAGAGTCCATGCAGGGTTTCATGTGCTGCAAATCCCCCGTTTCTATCTCTTCGCACTCACTCCCTCTTAAAGACCTACTGGATCGATCGCTCTCTTTACGTACCACCGAAACGAAACAGTTTCAATCGAGAGGGACAAATTCATCAATGAACTTACAGATAACTCTGGAGATTGACCCGCCGCAGCGTGGATGTTCACATTTTGTGGTAAAGCATGGGAATTATGCGAAAGCTGTTATGCCAGAGAATATAGCGCAACTTTGGGGACCAATCTTCTTGCCTCCTTTACCACCAGGGCAACAGAATGACTGTATGGTGGCAACACACAGGTAATGTAGCATCACAGGTGGTCTTTGAGATGCTTCCCAGTGATCTCCCTAGCATAAAACAAGTGGTTGCTGCACCCACTTTAGATTCTAATGATAGCTGGCTTGCAGCCAACTGGGAATCCATTGGCACCTACTGGAAAATGAGAGAAATCATGAAAAATAGGCTAAATTTGACCAAATTTGATCCCAATTATGAAAATGAGAATTTTGTACCCAATTGAGAAAAGATTCTGGAAAGAACACTGCTTACTGTAGGAAAAATCAGTGAAATTATCATTGAGTCCCTCTTTTTAAATGCCTTTCTGATCTGTCCAAATACCAAGTTTAAAGAGTTTTCTTTATCGCAAACTACAAGCTCTATCACATTTTATTTATTTGCTGCCCCTATTATTAGATCAGTTAATAAAAAATTGTGTGGAAAATGAGTAAATTAGAAAAATAAAGTAAATAAGAGATTGTTTTTCTATTTCAGTGTGTATCTGACTGGCGTATCCATGCAGCTATATACCTGTCGTGTCATCCACAGCGCCCCCTACATGATGTCTGCCATACAGGTACATGTTACAACAAATAGCATCATCCGTCATTTAGGGAATAGTTCAATTTATTATTTCCATGCCGTGATACTCGTTCTCTCATTGGTCAATTAGATACCATGTGACTAAAATATATTGAGGTATTCCTTGTCTCCCCGCTTATAAAATGTGTGAAGAGTGTATTCACTAAAAATGACGTCATTTTAATTGAATAAATAGTGGTATTCACTAAAAATGACGTCACATCACTTAATTCCCGGGAATTTATGAAAGACGGTGAAGTTGTATCAGGAAGTCCTCCCAAGAAAAGGTTCAATACTGTATAACAAACGCTGGATAAAAATTTTACAAAGGTATTCAAAATGTCAACTAATGAAAGCACGAAGACTATGGACTTTAACATGGAAGATCCGAATCTAATTTTTATATATTATGGTGTGACAGAGATCGTGATTTATAACAAAATATTGGCAAATGTTTGGAAATACGTTGAAACTAAACGTCATATCATAACAATATTGTGTGCTTCTAAGTTTAATATTTTGTGCTACTTTAATGAGGAAATAATAAAACAAATATTGAATCTGTGATCGTTTAATATCTGTATATATTTCTTAGGGATGTATTCACCTCGCCCTTCGGGCTGCGGTGAATACACCTTCAGAAATATATACGAACTCCAATGCAGTGTCTCGGTATAGACACTGCGGCAGGCAGATGAAGCAAATCCCCAAAATTTGGGGAAAATAGTTTCCCTTTTCATCGCATATGTGGTCAATTTTCACACAACTTATAAAATATGTATTCATGAATGTTCCCCAAACATTATTTTGTCAAAATATTTCAAAATTATTGAAATATGAGAAGGAATCACCGCGGAAGGAATTCTGAGTAAAAGTTGTGTTGATAATAGTTTACCGCATGTGTTGTTTATTAGTTAATACGCGCAATTCAACCAATGAAATTGTCTAAATTTTACAATCACTCGACCTGAGCATGGGACTAGAACCAATCACGTCAGTTGTTTATTACAAAGTTACCATGCTTACGGTGAGATACCTGCCCGCCGCAGTGATATATCACTGCACGGGAGTTCGAAATATATACAGATATTCAACTCCACAGAATTCAATATTTGTATAATATTGATAAATGTTCACAAACAAAATTGATTTCCCTAGTGAAATATAAATAATATTCCAAGGGATCAAACATACTTCCCGAGTATCTCTTGAAAACCCTTGCTAAAACTGATGTACTTTTAACAGATGTACTGTATCCCAAAACCTACTTACTTAAATATGCCAGAAATGTAAAATTGAGTTTTCTTAAATGTAGTTATATTTTTCTACATTTTTATCGCACTTTGAAAAAGTGCTATATTGTCGTCGTCTTGTGCTGTTGGGCGGGCGAGCGGGCGGGCGTGCGGGCGGGCGGCACATAAACCAAATCTTGTCATCAAATTTCCTGGATAATTGCTTACCTGTTCAACTTGAAATTTTTACAGATGCAAGAGCAGACAAGTTCCAAGATCTGATTAGGTTAAGGGTATGCTGGGTAAACTCCGTGGTGGCCATTTTGAATTTTTCAACAAATCTTGTCATCAAAATTCCAGGAAAACCACTTATCCATTCAACTTGAAATTTTTACAGATGCAAGAGCAGACTATTGCCAAGATCTGATTAGGTTTTGGGTATGCTGGCTGAATTACATGGTGGCCATTTTGAATTTTTCAATTTGGCGGCCATTTTGAATTTTTCAACTTGCTCCAAATTGACCAAATTTAAAAAAAAACATCTACAAGTTCTCAGAAGTTCAAATCTGACCTTAGATTTCAGATTTGACCTTTCATTCACCTTCAGTGACCTTGAAAAGGTCAAAAAAGTTGATTTTCTAAATTGATATTTTGGATTTAAATTTAGGCCAGCTTAATTACAAAAGACCTACTGAGGTCTGAAAAAGTGAAATTTTCAAGGTCGAAGGTCATCAAATTAGGTCACAAACAATGTTATCTAAATTTTCCCAAAGTTCAAGACTACAAATAAATTCTTGTCATCAAAATTGCAGGAAAACCGCTATAACCTTGTCAACTTGAAATGTTTACAGATGCAAGAGCAGACTAGTGCCAAGGTCTGATTAGGTTTTGGCCATGCTGGGTAAATTGCATGGTGGCCAGTTTGCTCTTCAAAGTGCGATATTTATCACTGTGTGTCTTGTTTAACCTCAACTTACCCTGCCCACAGAGTCTAGTTATAAACTACCCTCTGCCTAGTATAGACTATATTATAGTTTAGTAGCCCCGCCCCCATGACCTATGCCCATGACAGTCGGGATCATAAATCATTTTAAACCTACCACACTGATCTTTTCTCAACCAATCAGTGAGCTGGTATGATCACATGCTAAATGCCTCAATTAACGATGCAATCACATCAGAGGAAATAAGAATGTTCTCCATATTTCGACAATGAACTCTGAATAGCTCAGTGAGTTCAGAGATTTATTGTAAACTGAAAGAGTGATGACAAAGCTCTCTTTTTGGAAGCGAAGTCAAACAAAAGCGGAGGGTTATCTAAACTGAAAATTATCCCACATTGTCATTATAGTATCCCCCTTATCTAATGCCTTGCATATGTTTGAAATGCTTATAGGCTATTATACTGTACTAACAAAAAATATTGAATTAACACCGTGATATTTTTCTAGACATGGATATATAAATGTGTATCTAATACTTGAGTGGGTCTGGGGTAGATATCACCCGGGAATATATATCATATCTGAGGTGCTGGCAGGATATATTGTATATGTCCCCTTCCAGGCCAAATGCAGGCAGATATGATATATCCATCCGGCTCCCAGGAATCTTTCAAAAGTTTTTAAAAGTTTAAAAATTTCAAAAGTTTTGAATTTTAAAAGTTTAAGATTTTTTAAAAGTGTAAGTGTTACAATTTCATTGTATTGAACTAAAGGAATATTGAAAAAATTGATAACCATACTCATAACATCAAAAATAGTTGTAGATACTAGTACTCATAAAAGAGTATTCAGTCTCAAACGATACACCAGTTATGTACTGTGAGCTTTTGGATATATGGTATATCCTGAGGGATATATTTATCTTCCCGAGGGGCCGAAGGGACGAAAGGGAGATATAAATATTTTCTGAGAGATGTACCCCTAATATCCAAAACCTCCCAGTACATAACCCTTATACATTTACAGTGTGGTTTCTTTTATTTTAGGTATTCTATGGTGACAAGATGATCGCTATATCTCAGTGTATAGGACTGGACCAACTGCCTAAGACAAGCCAGGTAGGTGGATATACATTATATCCTATGATTTTGGAATGGAGATAGTTGTATCAGCACTCATGAGTGAATGTTAATTATTCTTTAAATGGTCTGATTGAATGTATCAAAAACTCAAATTGTCCAAATATTTGAGAAAAAAAAAATGAAATGTTGTCCATTTTTGATAAACCTGATTTTGCTATAATTGCATATTTCCATCACATTTATGGAAAAAAGAATGTGAGGCGTGATTGCCATCTTTTTCATACATTTATTTAGTATTGACAAATGTTGAATGAGGTTGTAGTTTTAAAATTTATTAATTAAATAGATGGCAGTGTCTAACAACTAACTCTCAACAGGGGCAAGTGAGAATCTGAGATTTTATGAATGACTCTGTGGAAAGATGGAAGTACTATTTACAATTCTAAAGTGTTTTGTTCTAAATCGATAACGCAAACTTAAAGAGACTCTATACCATAGGATAGCACAATCAAGACCCATCTGGACTTTTTTGCATATTGAATTTTACCACATATTCACCTATCTATTTACAAACGAAGAAGTCCCAAAATCCCCCCTTCAGTGTTAATTTTGTGATTGCACTGACCGTTCGATTTTTTTTCGCCTAAATTAATGCAATCTGAAGTTTGAATATTCTGGGAAAATCCCCCTGTTATCTGATCGGCCGTGAAATTTGTTTATCATGAACCTGATTGTCTGCTTGGTTTAAGGCGTGTGTTGGCGCTTGTGTGACTGGAAGGGGATTCCCCGCAATGGCCATGGAATCAATTGTGTTTAATTCTGAATGTTGGTTGTTCTGATGATTAATTCAATATTTCCACAATAATATACCCTTAAGTTATTCTCAAGATATATCCAAGGTATGTAAGATATTATATGAACAATAGTAAAAGGAGAACACTGATTGTCCAGGAGAGAGGCCTATGGTATACTACATCTTTAACATGAACAAAAAAAATGTTTGCATCTCCCTTGCATGCTGTTAAACCAGTGTCTTTCTCAGTCATACGAAATACCTCGATGGTTCAAGATATCTCTTTCTGTTTTGTGATTATTATTCTTATTGGCTGTTAAATCACAGATTCACTAATTGATGATTCCAAATGTTCAAAAGCTGGTTCAGCATCGTAGATCTTCCTTATTGTAATGCAATTGTATATCTATCGTAAATGTTTAAAGGTCAGAAATGCGTAAGATAAAGAAACAGTAAGTTATACATTTTGTGAAATTATGTTTGATAAAAATGAAAACGATACATATGGAATATAATCTTATAAAGGAAATTGTGAATGAGGTGTGTTCGAGATACATTACAAAGGAAATTGTGAATGAGGTGTGTTCGAAATGCATTACAAAGGAAATTGTGAATGAGGTGTGTTCGAGATGCATTACAATCCTATTTAAAATTAGTTTACACTGACATTCATTTTCCAATGTAAATGCCATGAGGTAGCAATAAATGTCATTTGATAATCAGACAGCAATAAATAAGTAAACCCTATGGATTATTATTATTCGTTTTTTATTATTTATTATACTGACTCTACGATAAAGTTTACGTATATGTAGATATTTTGCCAAAATGAAAATTATCCATTTTGTCTAAAATTCTTGTTGATGTGAATAAAGACCAAAATCAATGAAATAGTCTATCCTGTAAAACAATAAGATCAATTTTACCAACATTGTAGTTTACTACCTTATATCATTAGCTAAATTTTTCTTCTGAGGTAAAATAAGTTCAAAGATTATATCAACTGCTTCAGGTGATTCATCATTAGCTGATTCACCTTCAGTATAGTTCATGTTTCATTTGACACTGTTGATCACAAAATTCTACTTGAAAAAATTGATTTTTATGGGTTAAGGGGAAATGTAAAAAATTGGTTCACTTCCTACTTAGAAAACAGAAAACAGATCACTTGCTACAATAACACTTTTTCAAATCAAGATATTATTAAATGTGGTGTACCTCAAGGGTCTATACTTGGACCGACTTTGTTTTTAATGTACATTAATGATATTACTTCAACCTCAAATCTCATCAAATTTGTATTATATGCAGATGATACTAATTTACTTATATCTAATCGTAATATGGATGAACTAGTTAGACTATTAAACAAAGAACTGCAAACAATTAATCAATGGTTTAAAGCTAACAAACTATCTCTCAACTTAGATAAAACTAATTTCATAATTTTTACTCCAGGCAGAAATTTAATCCATGACATAAATATACATATTGACAATGTGCCAATAAAAAGAGAAAGTAGTGTTAACTTTCTTGGAGTATTTATTGACGAAAAGTTAAATTGGAAAAAGCACATTCAGCATATTACTAATAAGATATCAAGAATAACAGGCATTCTCTATAAAGTAAGAGACATCCTTGATCATGACTCTAAACTTAAAGTATATCATTCATTAATCCTTTCTCAAATTAACTATTGCAATATTATTTGGGGTCATGTAAAAAAGAACATACTTACACCAATACATCTTATTCAAAAGAAATGTATCAGATTGATTACAAATTCACATTTTAGAGAGCACACTGCCCCTTTATTCAAAAAAGAAAACATTTTGACAATTTTTGATATTTATCATTTAAATGTTGCTACATTTGTATATAAATGCTTAAACATACCATCTGGCTTTCCTATATACATTTTTAAAGATTATTTTAAAATTTCCCAACATGGCCATGACACAAGATCTAAACACCTTTTAGTCCAACCTAAATACCGCATTAAGTTTGGTTGGGACTCACTTAAATATATTGGACCATCATATTATAATAAACTACCTAATGAAATTAAGCACAGTGTCAGTACAGTTAAATTCAAGGCAGCACTTAAACATCATATTATATCAACTTATTAATTTATATGTAACTCTAGCAGACTCTACCATCTCACTTTTCCTGCATTCCTGCACTCCATTAAAATAATTGTATTTACAAATATTGACTTTTGATCTTTGAACTACAATATACGCTTTGCGTCAAATTGTATATGATTATATGTATGTAACATGTTAAAATTGGAATAAACTTAAACTTATTCTAGTTGTCCATCTATTTTTTGATACCTTGATACATAAAAAGTGTTTCAGTTAGCAGGTGTCCCACTGACAGCGGTTTATTATCCCACCGAACAAAGTTCGAGGGGGATATAGAGAAGCCATCCGTCCGTCCGTCCATCCGGGCAATAACTCCAATACCGGTTGACGGATTTGGTTCAAATTCTATAGGCATATGCCTTATGAGTGTAGGACCTCTACTCGAGAAGGAATTTTCAATATGACTGCTCAATTTAAAATGGCCACCATTTTTGTAAAAAATGTTATCGTTGATAACTCAAATACAAGTTGACGGATTTGGTTCAAATTTTATATGCTGATGCCTAGGGACAAAGGAGTTTCGCACAGATAGAGATTTTCAAGATGGCAACTTAATCTCAAAATGGTGGCCATTTTTTGTAAAAATATGTAATCTTTGATAACTCAAATACCAGTGAACGGATTTGGTTCAAATTTTATATGATGATGCTTAGGGACACAGTTGCTATGTTTGACAAAAGAATTTCAAGATGGCCGCTTAATTTCAAAATGGCGGCAATTTTTTGTAAAAGACGTAATCTTTGATAACTCAAATACCAGTGAACAGATTTGGTTGAAATTTTATATGATTATGCCCAGGGACACAGTAGCTCTGTTCAAGAAATAATTTTCAAGATGGCGGCTGAATTTCAAGATGGCGGCCAATTTTCGTAAAAAACGTAATCTTTGATAACTCATATACCAGTGAACGGATTTGGTTCAAATTTTATATGATGATGCCTAGTTCACAATGGTATAAACTAACTTTGTGCCAAATTTCATGCTTCTATCACAAAGTGCACAAACATTTCAACATTTACACTAGCTATAATAAGCATAATATGTTTTGTTCGGTGGGATTTGCTACTCCGTGGAGTTGCTGTTTTTCTAGTTTCACATTAAGTGAAATAACGAATTCTTTCTAATAGCATCTCAAAATAGGGATGCATTCAATTCAATGTCTTCAGATATCACCTTGCCTCTTTATATTTTATCATTTATGTATTATACATAGAACACTACTTAGAGGTTATGTCACTTTAAAGTGAAATATGCCCGAATTCTGTTGATAAAGGCCGACATATTGTTATAGCCACTAAATGATGTATTACACCCCCAATCCGCAACATCATCCTGCAGTGCTGTATAGCGCTGTGAACAGTACTGAACAGTGGAGTTTGAGTACTGTGCTGTACAGCGATGCACAATGCTGTTCTAACATCATCTGTTTTGAACAGCATTAGAACAGTACTGTTTTTACAGCGCTGTACAGTACTGTTTTTGAACACACCGCTGTACAGTACTGTTTTTACAGCACTGTCCAGCACTGTTTCATAAACAGCGCTGTTTGATGCTGTTTGTGATTGGCAGTGTACATACCCAATATAACATGTATATTTTTACCAATCTGTCACATTTGAGCATCTACATTGTTAAAACTGTACTCAGAATTCGAAAGAATTCAAAATGTGTTTGCTTAATCACACATTTGTACAGAATAATATGATTATAACGAATCCGCCATACCTATTCAGAACAGGCAAATTTTTACACTGAACATTGATTTAATATCCTCATAATATCAGTAATTCATATGATATGGAACAGTTCCATCTTTGGAAACCCCAGCTGGGAATCCCCGAGATTTAAGCGAGGTAATTAAATGAGCTTTATGACAAAATACTGTAGCTGTTGCTCATTGCCCACCTACTTTTCCGTTGATATAGACTATATCTTTGAAACAGTCTGTCCTGTAAAACAATTTAGATAAATTTTACCAACATTTTAGTTTACCACCTTTTTCACCTTTTTGTGTTTTTACATTGTGATTTTGAGGTTACATATTAAAAGAACTTTGAAATCTGAACACCTATTTTGAACAGTGAACACAAGTA